AAAATTTCCCGGGGGCGCGCCTCAACCCCCAAAATGGGAAAAAAATGGAAGCCAAAATAATCTGAAAAATTGGTCAACCCTCTTTTGGCAACCCCGTGGTACCCGAAAAGAATTTTTCTACACGTTTTACCAAAAAAATATAGTCCTTTATATCAGTATGGAGCGGCGGGGGTTTCCCAGTCTGCTCAAAGGCCCGTATATTTTTTTTGGGGTTTTTTCCTTTTTTTTTAAACGCATTTTCTTGTATTAAACTTTTTAAAATAATTTAAAGACTCAAGAAATCGAATGACAAAAAAAGTTCAAATAAACCATACCCCCCCGGCCGGGATTGAACCCGCGGGGCATAGGGGTCCAAAAACTCCAGCCAACAATTTTTGGGGATCATAAAACAAAGGTGGGGTTCCTTTTCCGTAGACTTGGACAACCAGGAAAACCCAAAAGGGGAAAGGGTCGGCATTTTTCCCCTCCCGGTGCCCCAGGAATAAATCATTATTATGCTTAAAATCAACTCCCGGCCCCATTTGTCAACAGAATTGATCCCAAAATGATAAATAAAAACTCTAAAAAAACATTAAAAAAATGTTATAAAACTCCAGACTTAATAAAAAAAGGCCCAAAAAATGGGAAAACCCTTTGGGGAAAAATTTTGATATTTTTTGAGTTAAAAACCCCTCCAATCATATTCTTTGGACTCCATTTAGTAAGAGAAAACGGTGTTTGGGGGGATAACTGCCAAAAATAGAAAAAAAATCAATTTTTCCAAAGAAAAACACCCCCAAAAAAACGCATTTTCGCGATTTTTTTTTTTTTTTTTTAGACGGGGGGCCCCCGGGCCCGGCCCTTCCCGGGCCCATAAACTCGCAAGTAACTTAATTTCCCCAAAAGTCCCAAAAATTTTTCCTTTAATTTCTGAATGATACTGGGTCCTGTGGGGGGCAGCAGCAGGATAATACTGCACCACCTCTGGGGGGCCCTTTAAAAACAACAACCCGTTTTGGTGTGTGTCATGGGCACCAACACATGGGGTGTGATTTTCCCCCCAAATTATCATTTTAAACACGTCAGATTTTCAAGGGGAGTTTTAAAAAAAATTTTTTCCCGTAGTTATAACTTTTCCTTTACATATGCCGACATCCCCCATCCCGTAGAACTATTATTAATGAAAAATCAAATTTTATTTTTGGGTTTTTTGCAGAATCCAATGAAGTTCAAAGTTTTAAAAAAAAAAAATAAAATAAAGGCCCGTGTTTCAAACACAACAATTTTCTTTTTTAAAAAGGAATATAATACTCACAGAAATTGTAGAATAATGATTTCTCATTTTCAGTGACCAAATTTTTTGGAAATAATTTCCCAAAAACTTTGGGAGTTATGTGGGAGTAAAGGGCCAAAATTTTTTGCAAATATTCCAGGAACTAAAAAACTTTTTTTTTTTTGAAATAAAGAAAAGTTTTTTTTAGGGGAAAAGGAGTCCCGAAAAATAATATAAGCTTTTTTCCCTCAGGCACCCCCAAATTCCAAACAACCTTACAAAAATTCCCCTAAAAAGAGAAAAAATTTTTGGGCCCCAAGGGGGATTTTCAGTAAAAACAAGGGCATTTTCCCCAGGGTTTTTGGGAGGTAAATTTTTGATAAAAATTTTTAAGAAAAGTGAAACCACTTTGTCTTGTGTACCAAAACTTTGGGGAAAATCGGACGGTAAACAACAAGTTACAGATTTTTTCCCCCACGGCCCCCTTTAGGAAGTATAGTGGGGGGGGGGTTGATCCCGGTTTTTTACAGTGAAAAAAATTAAATGGGAAAAGTATTTAGGGGAAGGGTAAAGAGGTTTTTTTTTTTTTTTATTGGGAAATTTATAGAAATTTGGGAAAAACATATGGTGGGTGGATGGGAAGCAATATGGTACAAGTTGCAAGTGTTTAAAAAAAAATTGGGAGGTTTTCTGAAAGCAGTGAGGGAAAATTTTTATGAGGAAAAGTGGTTGGGGGTCAGAATTTGGGTATGTAAAAGGGGAGGGAGATTAATTTTCCCCGTAAAAGGAGGCCTTAAACAGGGGTGGGAAAATCACCATGGTTTCCCAAAATATTTATAGATGGGGTTGTAAGAGTGAATGTTCGGGTGGGATAAAAAGGGTAAAGAATCTGCACAAGT